GCCAGGAGCCACTATAATGATATAGCATCTACTGTAAATAAATCAGTAATTGTTATTAATAACTTAATCTAATAACTTGGTTATTGTATATTTTTGATATAAGCATCAGGTCATTTTATACATTTTGTTAGATCACTTTTAAATGTAATATACAAATTTTGCTCTCAACTGATAGGAGATAAGCAAAATTTGTATATTATATATCAGAAGTGATCTAATATTATATATAAAAATAGTTAGATTCTTACATAAAAAGTATATAATAAAACAATATATCAAAATAGTTTTTATATAACCAGCAAGTATAAACAATTTGCTTAATCCTTCTTCTCAATACTCTAAAACTATATATATATACAATTGTACTTGTAGTTTTTCTAACAAATAATATATAAGCAATAACTATGAAATTTGTTCTATATATAAAAAAATAAATAAATAAATAATTTTTTTTTAATCTTTGGCAACCTTGCTGGTGATCCTTTATTAAGATTATTATATAAATAAATTACATAATATTGAGCTTAATATTTAGATCTGACATCACTTGGCTACCTCATGGGTGTCCAAAAGCAGTCTGTCATACTGATTTAAAATTTGTTTATAACTAGAAGGCTAATACCAGGTTAGCCACACGAACTATACCAAAAGAGTTTGCAACTATTTTGTATTAATTTTCTAAAACTATTAAATCATCTATTTCTATTCTTTTTATACTCTTCTTTTTTCTTTTTTTAATCTAATATTCTTTTCTAGTTCCTCTATATTAGTTCCAATCTTTGAACCCCTTTTTTGTGTCTTTGTTTCAGCTATACTTGAACCTAACTTTTTTCTTTCTTTCATTGATCTGCTATTATGTTTTTCTTTAATTGTAATACCTTTACTGATTTCCTATCACTATATTATTTCACATCTTCTTGTCTATATATTTTTATAAAAACAGGTCCAAACCATATTTATAGTGAGTTTGATGTAAGTCTTGACATCTTTTCTCAATTGTAGAGTTTCTTGTATTTTTTCTGCCTTGTCTTCTTGGATCAGATCTTTGATTGGTTTTGCCCTTGTTTCTAAAAATTCTTCTTTTGACTCTTTACAGAGAGTTTCTTCGAGTAGATCTTTATTTGTTTTCATTTAGATTTCCTCTAGAAGGGCTGTTCATGCTATGTTTGCTACTAGTTTTTTTACTTATTCTCTTGTTTTCTGTAGCTTGCTAGATGATCTTGATCTTCTTCAACTTTTTTATTACATATTATATAATTTGAATCTTAATATAGATCTGAGCATCTTTGTGCTAATGTCTGAAATACAGATAATTTTTTATTAGCACATTTAATTAGAACTCCAAGATGTTTGTTTTTCTTTAATGTTATATATCTAACTCCACTATTTCTTTTGATTTGCTTTCAAAAATAGGTTTACTTATTAGTTTTGAGAATCTCTTTTGGTTCTATTTTCTGTATTGCTTTCAATTCTTTCCAGTTTATAGCTAACTTGAGGTCTAGAAGTGTTTTGATTACTTGTTTTACTGGATGTTCAATAAGTGTTCTATTCCAATGTAGTGAAACATTTGACCTTAACGGGGTTAAACATAATTCTATCTATATTTGTTATTATAGCACCTTGTTTTGCTAAACTATTTGCTTTATTATTTTACCCAATATTGCTATAACTTTTAATTTTAACTAAATTTAATTAAATTTCTTTTACTTTAACTAACTCTATAATACTATATACTAAATCATGATTCTTCTGTTTTAACTATTGCTTGCTTAAAAGATTAATTTTTTCTTTCTCTATACTTGCAATTGCTACTGCACTTTCTGTATATATCTTGACTTTCTTTTGCTAGATATTACAAAAATTGCTAACCAGATTGCTATCAATTTTGGTTTGGTTGATAAAGGCCAATTCTCTGTTCTGGTGAAGCACTCTTTAATTATTATTTGTTTGTTATAGTCTACTTGTACAATTCCTATACCCATGTGATCTGGGCCTTCTGTATTATTTTTTGCTTGTTGCAGTGATCCATCAGTATAAAAAGTTAGATTTCTATATAGTAGTAACTGATTGTTCTGATTCTATTTGATCAAATTCTCTTTAAGTTTGGGTAACATATCTTGTTTTTGGATCATTTCTGTGTCTAGATCATAACTAACAATTTTTATACATTGAGATTCCTCTTCAGTTACTCGTGCTTTTTATTTCTATATTGTACTTCAATTAAGATTAAAGGAATCTCTAATTTCTATTTATTTCCTCTTCTTTTAATAAAGGCAGATAAAGACTCTTAAATTTTGCTTTTGTGATACTACTTCTCACAAGTTTCAATTGCTTCTTGTTGGTTTGATTTACACTCTATACATTTTTCTAGTATAAAGTTTTTTGTATATATTATTTAAGTTCTAATGTTCTACTAAAATTTTTTTAGTGTTTTTGAGATTACTTATGCGATTACTAGTTTCAGATTCTCTTTATTCTTTGGTGGTTTTAAAATTATCTACTCTTTGATTCAATTATCTGCTGAAAGTTTAGCCAAATGAGCTCTTAAGAACTATCTGTTGTTACTCTTTGTTCTGTATTGTGATTTAACCAGCCTGTTTTGAGGGTTTTTTAGTATTAGTTCTTCAATTTGCTTAAACCATTTAGCTATTCTGCCTCTGCCTGTTCCCTTTCTAAGAAATTTGAGTTGTTGCCAAGTTATTATTTATTTTCTCTTAGATCTAGTAGTTAGTCAATAAGTATCAAGTTAAGACTTTTAAAACAATATGCTACTGGAGCTATAAATAGCTTTCCTAATATAGTACAAAGTTTCAATTTTGGTTGTATTCTGGAAGGTTGGTACTGCTAAAGTTAAAAGCAAGGTTTAGTTTCTTTGCTCTTAATATTGTTAAGCATGCTAAATTGTTTTTCCAAATTTTTGAGTATATTTTTAAGGTCTTTTCATGGCAGTTATTTTCTGAAGCATCAACAAAGAGAAGTCCTTCTTTAATTCTTATTTTTGTTAATATCTCCTCTGGACCAGTTGAGTTGAGATGATTATATAGGCTTGTGATTTGCTTAAGTAACAGCTAGTTCCACAGAGGAAAGCAATTACCCAAACTTCTATGATGTATTATTCCTTAAACTATATACAAATTTGGGGCAAATTTGCCTCAAATTTTTTAAGTATAAATATTTATGATTTAACTTTTTAAAAAATTAAAATATTTAATTTTATTTTTTTTAATTAATATATTAAAATAAGGATTATATAATTATAATATTTATTATTTTTTTTTTATACCTTTGCAATGTAGCAGAAGGGTAAATTTTTATTAGGTACATTCTTGGTTAGCAAGAGTACATATAGCCACATGTGCAACTTTGGTCACCTAATTTAAGTAGTCCACCTGAAGGTTCTATACTATATGCCATACCTGTAACCTAATTAGAAGATTACCTATTTAAACCCTCTGATTTTCCTGGTCCTGCACCACTACCACAATCACACCAATCTATAACCTCATGCTGCTTCTTATTGAAGACCATCCAGATCGACATCTGCTATACTACTTGTACTCTAATTCTATAGATAACCCAGTATGGTTCTTATACTATCAGGTTGCTCTAGAGAGGGTGTAGTATATACCCACCTAATCTTTCTATGTACTACACACTTCTAGATTAAGCTACGAATACCTTCCGCAGCAGCGAAACCACTACTAGCAGTCAGAGCAAACTATTAAACCACACAATTCTGATCCCAATACCCACATCAAGCCAGTGTTGGCAAATGACCTTAAATGACCCAAATGACTCAAATGACTAATGACTGATCATTGGGTCATTTCAAGAATGAAATGACCTATTGGGTTATTTGAATTTTATTGATGGAAATAACAGATAAAACTTGGTCAGATTCGAACAATAATTTAATATTAAATATCTAAGATATGATTAATTTATATTTTTTTTAGAAATTGAGTTCGTAATTACAAGTTTTCATAAAACCAAATAATTCTTTATATAGTTGATTTAATCTCCAGCACAGGGACTCTCAAATTTATATAATTAAAAGAAACTTAAACATCAAATATACAAATAATAAAATATTACAAAAGCCCTTCCAAAATAAGTTCCAATTTAAATTTTATTATAATTTTAAAAAAGTATTTTATATAGATTTATAATAAATACAGTTATGAATTGATATATTAAAATGTAACGATATAATTTATTCTTCATATTTTATACATAATGGACTTCTTTTCAGATCCATATACCGATATTGAATTTCAAAAAAATCATTTACTAGCAATTTACTAATTTTGATTTACATAGTTAACCATGCAACCCAATCATTAACCATTTTTTTTGTTCAGAGTTACTATAAGAATCACATATTACAAAATCAAACTATCATACATAGTTTTATATTAGTACGAATAATGATTTATTATAACTTTAAAGTTAGGTTAAAAAATCTACTTATAGTTGAAATTTAATAGTTTGCAAGCTTTGACTTATATAAGAAAACCATAAATAGAACCAATAAATTAATTGTCTTGACTAAAAAGTTTCAAGACGCTTGGCCAATTCTTTAAGAAAATGTTCACAAGAATCCAACTTGGCATTGAAACAAGAAATTATTCTGACATGAATATAATAAATTAAAAAATTATGTTATTTATATATTTAATTTTAAAATGATAGAATATAAATAATTATACATAACTTACTTAATAATAATTTTAAATTGTTCTACTATTATATTCATATAAGATTGTGATTTGAAGTTAGGTAATAATTTTCAAAACATATTTTTTACAAAGCAGATTGTAGTATAAATTTTAATAAATCCTTTAAATCATAATGGATTAAATTCATTAAAAAACAAAAGAAATGAGAACATCCAATGAATCATTGAACAATTTTAACAAATCCTATTTTGCTAATGGATTATCTGCCAGATGAACAATGCGTCCACAAAATTCAAATTCGGGTGGTTTATCGTTAATAATTTAACCATTTTCTAAATGATTTTCAAGATCCAATGTTTCAATCCAATCTTCAACTATATTTGACCAATGCTCTTCATCATCAGAGGCTTCAAAATTATCTATTATGCCTTCTGCTGCTTCAATTAATTCAGTCATTTCACTTAGTTCAGTTAGCAGATCGTTAGATTCAGTTTGTGGATTGTCAGGTTCAATTTGTAGATTGTCAGATTCAATTGGTGGATTGTCAGTAGTTGGTGAACTAATTTCATTATTGCTTATAGAAGAAAGTTCTTCTAATTCTTGTAAAATATTTTCATTATCATTAGGTTGTATAGGAGTTGCAATATGAATTCGTTTAAATTGTCATTCGGATTGTTCAATGTTATTACGTTTTCACTTGCTTAAGATATCACTATGCAATTGGCTCATTGCTAGCACCTTTTCATACTTAAAATGTAGGACTTAAATTAGTTATATAAACTTAAATTAAGAATAATATTTATACATACAGATAACTGATTTCGCCGTTTTGTATATAAAAAACCTATTGTTAACTATAACCACTCAACAGAGGCTAAATTAACATATATTCCAAATAATTGTAAAGCCAGTTAAGACAGTTCTAGTGCAAGACCTTTTGCTGATTCCCAAAAATTAATAACATTGTCAAATTGACTATAAGTTTTTTTATCAAAAGGAAATACTTCTCTCTGGTAGGATAAAAATTTACGCAAAATGTGTTTTGGTGTTTCTTCAAACTATAAGCTATAATAATAATTTAGCCATTGTCCAAAGTGCATATAGGAGAAATCAGGAGCACTGAAACAAAACTTTAAAAGCCGATAATTTGGGCAAAACTATTAATAATAAAAGTAGTGGTTGTTTCTACTGAAACCAATGATTTTATAATAATTTATCATATGATCTGAAAAATCTTCATCCTCATAATTTTTAAAAACCTTAACAAGCCATCCAAAACAGTGTACAACTTCATACAACCTTGCAGCATCTTTCTGAAGTTTATTCAATACACAACATAAGGAAATAGTAAATCCTGAAGATCATAAAGCTGGTTCCAAAAGTGTGAATTTTGTATAATTGATATAATATCAGATGAGAGCGTCTTGATCGTATTAGTATTTTTTAATACAAATCGTTGTCGTAATAGTCCACTTCATAATATACTAATTGTTCTAATTCTTGCAGGTGAACATTTTGTTGCAAGTGTCTATTCATATAGAAACAAATGGATAAAGTCAAAAAATATATTATTAAAATTTTGGCATGCCAAAGTACTTTAATAAAAAATATTTTATTAATAATAATATTTACTTTAAGTGTGTCTTCAATTTTTAGAATAGAATGTAAACAAAAATAAATGCTATTCCAGCATGTCTCAGCTAGTGTAAGAAGAGAGATAAATTGCCCATAACATGATTTTTGCTTATTTCGTAGCAATCTGATGAAATATAGTGATGAATGAAAATAGCTTACAACTCGTATAGCATTTTTTAATGTTTTTTTATATATATCAGACTCTTTGAAAATATCACCAATGACTAAGTTCATTTGATGTGCCATGCAAGGTATGAAAACTTTATTAGGATATTCAATTCTTAACTGCCGTCTATGAAAAAAAATCAAATTAAAAATTTTATTATAAGTAAATTACAATACAGATTTAATATTTACCTTGCAGCTGCATATTCACCAGCTGAATCTGACATGAAGCAGTTAATTTTTATACTCTCAATTTTAGCTTTATCCATTACACTTTTAATAAGAAGTTTCACATCTTTAGTTCTTGAATATTGATTACTAACGTCGGATGCATTCCAGATTAATGCCTCATCCTGAGAGGTAATTAAAACTATACCAAAAAGGTGCTCTTGTTTGATGTTAGTCTAGCCATCAAAGGCTGCGGTTATTCTAATTTTGTTTGCACGTGCACACCGTAAAATATCTTCAGTCAATATTGTTGAAGCCTTTGAAAGAATTCGATTACTTATCGCTTGTCAGTTAGACAATTTTAAAGTTAGCATAATAAAATTAAAAACATCTTGTGTTTTTTGGTTTTCCATAAATGTAAAAGAGAGACCATTTGACACAATTATTAGTAATATTAGGTTTTCAAAATGTTGATTGTCTTTATCAGACAGTTGTCGTATAATATAATTGTTAATAGGTGCTTGATATTTTACTTTTGATGGAGTAGACTTGCTAGATGATGAAGTGGATTTATTTGTAGGCAACAAATTGAATATCAATGTTTCAGAAGGTTTAGTAAAATCTTCTTCATCTAATTTAGAACTATCCTTTTCTGCTCATATTATTAGTAAGTAATTAAAATATTGTATAAACAATATACAATTTTTAAAATAATTACTGTTGACAATTTTTTTTTTTTTAGTGTCTTCAGGTATTGTTTGAGCAAGGATTTCAGCAATTTCATTCACATTATATTGCGCATTAAAATTTGGACAAGTTCAAAGATGGCTTTTATATAATTTCACCTTATTGGAGACAAAACACTCCGGCTTCATGATAGCAATAGGTAAAGTATAAGTTCATATACATGAAAGACAAACTGTCTTCTTGTTTGCTTTTGGATTAACAGATGCGGCTAAATAAAAAAATTCCCGAAAATTGTGTTCTTTTTTGCCCATCGTTATTTGCACGAGAAAAAAAAATTTTTGTGACACCATATTTATAAGTTACTCTAAATGATGATAAAGCACGAGTTTCCTTTCCATCTATGAAGTTCCCTCCTTGAACAACTAAAACTATTTATTAAGCGACTTATTATTATTATTATTTTAATTTTTTTTTTAATAATGTAATAATAATATTATTATTATTATTATTTTCTTTTTTTTTTTTATACTTTTTTAAACTTTTTTTATTTTTTTTTATTTTTTTTTATTTTTTATATTACTAACTAGATTCTTGATCTATCTACACAATTTTCACAGTCTTCAAGATTCACTAAAAAGATGGTCTATTAATATTGCACATTCCAGTTGAACGCACAAATTAGTTTATATCATTTGTATAATTTTTTTCAAATATCCTTCTGCGCTAAATCAGCACTATGGCCACCTATTCAGTTGAGATGATAATTAACTGTTTGAATTATCTGACGTTAGGCTTTTTATATCTTGTACAAGAATGTATAAAGCAGGATAGTATTTTATGTTTTATTTATATGTATTATGCTATTAACTATTATAAGCTTTTGAAATTAAATAATCTTACAATTGTTCATATTGTTCTGATTTTCATATATGCATTACATAATTTCTTATTGTTATAAATATATCTGCAAAGTTGATTGATATAGAAAAGTCATACAAATTCATGTATATATATACACAATAACCTAATGACTAGTAATACAGTAACCCCAATGAATTTTACAACATAAGACCAGTTATGGCTGCAGCGAAATCTGTATAATCTCAATGCATCATAATTTTTTATTAGGTACGTACGTACATACGTAACTTCAGAATTCACATAATTCAATTGGAAGCAATAACAATTTTTGAATTCTGTATAAGTATTAAAAAATTATCTTTTACAGAATAAAGAAAAAAAAATTATCAAAATGCAACTTAGATTCTGATTCAAACCTTGCAATATGCAATTAGAAGTAGTAGTTTATCAATTGAGGTTGTTGATTTTTTAAATTCACCTTTGAAAATTAGGATAAGACATTAAATATAACTCAATAATTGGATAAAATCTTAAATATAACGTTGCAAGCCTGGTGGTTTGAATATTTAATAAGGATAAAGAATAATGAAAGTAATGGATTATAAAATACATATCATAATGATATAGTAAATGCACATATTATAATTTAAAATGAAAAGTTACAATCTGATTATGTTATAGCCTACTTCGATACTTTAAATTTCTATCATATCACTACTAATAACTTAAATGACCTTCAAATGACTCTGGTCATTTGCAAATGACTATGGTCATTTGGTCACGATCATTTGCAAATGACCCAAAATTCAAATGACCTAAAATGACCTGTTATTTTAGAGTCATTTGAGATCATTTGAAAAATTTTCAAATGACTAGGTTATTTACCATCACTGCATCAAGCTGGTCTTTATACTGATCCCTTCCAACTACCAAACCAGTTAGCCCAGACGGGTCATTGTACCTAGGCTTTAAATGCCTTTCGGTTTTACTTTCCTTGGTTCCTAATTCTGTAGCATAAGACCTTTTCCTCTAGTACAACTCTGGCAGCCAGATTGGTGGACCCTTTTTGCCCTAGAGTTTTCGTCTGGTTCTTCGATCTCTGGTTTCTGACTTTTCTGCAGTATCGTCGAAGATTTTCACTACCGCTTTACTTAGGTCTTGCCAAATGGATTTTAATTATTCCAGTTCCTTGGATTTGGATCACCCAAGAACTTCCATTTTGAGATAGTAGTACCTAGATTACAGGTAATATACTCAACCAATTATCAAATAATTGTTACCGGAACACAGGCTTATTTTTCTAAAAATGGCTCTAATGGGATTTGAACTTCAGACCTGCCGCTTGGGGGCGACAACTTAACCACTACTCTAAGTCGCTACACCTAATTAATTATAATATTTAAATTTAAGTTATAAGAAAAAAATTTTATATTATATATTAGTCTAAAAGCTGGTATTTTTTGAAAATTTTTACAATTTAAAAATTTGGTTACTTATTCTTAATTAATTTGTTATTTTTTAAGTATTTTATTTTGAAAGGGTGTGGCGACTTAGCGAAGTTAGTAGGTTGTCGCATCCCCAAGCAGCAGGACAAGAGTTCGAATCTCACTGGCAACGAAATTTAAATTTTATAGAATGTGTTACAGCAGACTATGTGTAATCTGGCAGATCAGCATCTGTAATCTTGGTTGTACTAACTTGTACTAGGAGGATCCAGAACAGTAGTGTAATGCAAGAGTTACACAAAACCCAAGTGATAGATCCAAGTAAAACCAGGGGATCAGGGCACATAGAAGTCTGCTTGACAAGTCCCGAATAGAGAAGTAGCACAAATCTTTGACGGTATTATATAAAGGAAGATCATCGGCAATCGGACCCAGCTGCAAACTGAACGAGGACCGGGTGTTGGGCAAGGCATCATACCAACCAGGCTACATGTATATGGAGAAAAGGATTTATCAGAATATCAAGGAATGCAAGTTCCTTACAGACCATCTGAATTAAAAGTTTGAGGATGCTGTCAGTATACTAGGAAAGTCAGTAATAGTCCATAAAGTGGGTGCTGAGGTTTGAGTAAACTTCATAAGGACAAGGAGTAAGTAATGGTAGTGGCTTTAGCTCGCAAATACTTGGTCTCAGCCTAGGTATAAGTTACTTAAAAATCTAGGTAATACATGTATGAGATATAAACCGTTCTAGTAGATTTACCATGAGGATAAAGTAGTCCTAAGGGGCCTTAGTGGCAGTTCCTCTTTGGGGAGAATTTCTGATGGTGCTAAGTTGATCAGAGGGTTTAAATAGGTAACTCAAGTAATAGTGGGTTATAGATACAGCATCTAGTATAGAATCTAGTAATAGGTAGATACTTAATTAGATACTCAAAAAGACGCAGATATGGCTAGAATGTACCATCATTAATGTAACAAAGTCAGGGGTGGTCCTGTGGCTGCCCTGACATTTGCAACCAAAGTTAATAAAACATGCCAGACCCCCAAGTGGTCACCTTATTATTAAAAAAAAAACTATTTTATTATGATAAAATAGAATTAATAGAATTTATTAAAAGGATCAATTTTTATTATTATAGTTTTTATGATTTTGTTGTAAAAATTTAGACTTGTATTAGAAGTAAAAAAATTTTTTAGCTTTGGGAATATATAAATTTTATAAAATTTAAACTAAATTTAATATTAAAATTTTTTAAAATTTAAGCTTTAAAGTTTTTTTTTTTTTTTTTTTTTTTTTTTTTTATTTTGATTTTGCTGTATACATGATAAAATAAGTTACAAAATTGTATTAAGATGATAATAATAATTCTAACTATCTATTATATTTTGTATAACCACCTAAGTATAGCAAAACACCACTTAATTTTCTGTTTATAAACTAATTTAAGTCTAGCTACCATTAGTTATAGAAGGGGAAAGAGAAGGCCCAAAGTTAGGATATAAATTAGTAAAAACATGAGTAAATAGAAAAGTTTTGGTTATGCCATTTTTGGATAAATAGATCATGTTGTA